GGTTCTCACAGCGGCGGTTATGAAGAGTTCTGTCTTCTGAGATATAACGCCATGTAGGATCTGAGGTTCTCACAGTGGCAGTCATGAAGAGTTCTGTCTTCTGGGATATAGCGACGTGTAGGATCTGAGGTTCTCACAGCGATGGTTATGAAGAGTTCTGTCTTCTGGGATATAACGCTGTGTACGATCTGAGGTTCTCACAGCGGTGGTTATGAAGAGTTCTATCTTCTTGGATATAGCGCCGTGTAGGATCTGAGGTTCCATTTCTTACAAACTTAAGGTAACAAAGTTATGTGCATTCCAGTATCCCTCCACCTCCACCCTAGCCTCTTGAGCGAAATCTTAGCTACCCCTGGTTTAGACTAGCGTGTATCAATGTTTATTCTCGTACATTCTTTCGGTATGCAGAGATGTGGGCGCGTATCTATTCGTTTATAAGAACCCTGATTGTTTTTATTATCGCGTATAGCTACACAACGAGGGTTCTGTTCTGACACTGGTAGGCTAGTGTATAATAACTCTCAAGGTTAGCGTCCATATAACAGCCCACCGCACCAGAACATTCAAGGTTAGCATTCTGCGAAGTTGTAAACCAACCAACCATTGCGTGGTCTCGTTTGGAAGATTGGGACATATTTCAGCTCATAAATGACTCCGAATCAGATTGTTGTAAAGACAATTCTGAGAGTGGCGTTGAGGAAAGTGAATCAGAAATTGATTTCGATGAAGAACCATCATCTTGGTCGGCAACCTGGGGACCACCACACCAGGATGGCAAGAGGAGTGTGAATAATTATTCAGGTGGAGCTGTGGGCAAACTGTGGCAAACAGTTATAGCATCTGTCGTCGAACCTGGAAATGAACAAATAAACTATTTTTCCATCTCCTGGATCTGAACAGTTACATCCTGTTGTCACACAGAGAATTTTGTCTCGCTCTTGTGCGGAACATGCTGGAAGGGGTCCACTTCGCCCTCAACGGACCAGGGGTCGAACCCCTGCCGTTTCATTGGAGATATCTCAATTAGAGGAGGCCAAACCACATCACTGGCGGTTGATTTTGACGAAGACCCATCATCTTGGTCGGCAACCTGGGGACCACCACACCAGCATGGCAAGAGGAGTGTGAATAATTATTCAGGTGGAGCTGTGGGCAAACTGTGGCAAACAGTTATAGCATCTGTCGTTGAACCTGGAAATGGACAAATAAACTATTTTTCCATCTCCTGGATCTGAACAGTTACATCCTTTTGTCACACAGAGAATTTCGTCTCGCTCTTGTGCGGAACATGCTGGAAGGGGTCCACCTCACACTCAACGGCCCAGGGGTCGAACCCCTGCCGTTTCATCGGAGATATCTCGATTAGAGAGGCCAAACCACATCACTGTCCGACTTCCTCTACTTTGCAATTGAGGTGTCATGTGTGCTTTTCCCGTGGGAAACGAAGAACCGTCTGGACAAAGTGCATGAAGTGTGACGTCGGACTCTGTTCCAAGAATTTCACACGAAGGCAACATTCCGTTAGATGACGTAGGTGAGAAGACAGACAACTTATAAAGCTGGTGTCCAAAAATCATGTAAGTAGAACAAGAATTTATAACTTAAAATTAGATTTTAAAAGATGGCCACACGCGTGGAATGCGTGCCCTCATATGATGTCATTCGCCCCCTTGACTTTATTTTTGTGTCATCATATGAGGGCATTAGGCTCTTAAAGGTTAAACATATGTCCACATAGCTACATTCTGTGATACCATCATCTGAGGTCACTGGAAACAGAGAGGAATACAAAACCTTTATGACAAGAAGGGCAAAATATTGCACGATTCCTCCATAATTAGCCAAGAGAGACAACCTACAATGAAAGACTGAGGAAATTTAGAGTGTCAAGTGATGTCATTTCTTGGTGTTTGAATACTGAAGGTCTCAGAGATCAGACTGTGAATTTTCTCTCAGACAATGGTAGGACAGAGAGGGTGAGTTAACAGGATGATTGTTACATACTGCTAGCTGTAAGTAACTTGGGAAGTAAAATAGTAAGTACAATCGGTGCAAAAAATTATGGGGAAAACAGTGGTGGCTAGTCAGGAATCATGAATATGATGTTGCGTTTAGAAAGTAACAGTTCCAAAAGTTTTTGCCACTATAATAATGTCCTCATTACAAGCTATATTCATTCTATCATGGTTTCACTGAGCACTTTATACATACATATTCTCTCCAAGCCACAAATCAATCTTAATACTGTAGCTGGCCCACACATGCTACAACTTGAAGCTGAAAGTACAGCATAGGGAAATTCTTAATACATTACACCATAGACAGGCTTAGTTCTTGTACCTTCCTTAACTGTTCAGTTCCAGGCGACGTACATCGCATGTCGGCATTTAAATGCCAGATGTCGCTGGGCGACATGTGTGGTACGTCTTGTGCAGTGCTATGTTTCAGCTCTTATTTACAACCATTGCTTTTCATGCGAAGTAATTCCTTTGGTATGAAATTAGAGAGGAAATTTCTGTCTATCATCTCATATATTCGTTATTCCACTTTGAACTTCCCGGGAATTTTTTACATTTGAAGTCTCTGAAGAAGTTTTGTAGCTTGCCGCGTAGGGTGCAGTATTGCTGTACAAATCTATCTCCACCTCTTGGAGTAGTTAAGAACTAAATATGCTAGGTTGTCTGTGATCTCTCTGCGTGTTGGTCGACGCAAAATCGATTTCCATTCAGCCAGTGACAAGTGCTGCCTCTTGAACTGAATGAGAAACCACGTGTAGAAAACCTAACAAGAAACATACGTGACGTTGACCTCTGATATGACTGCTGTTGGATATGATAAACAAATGCCTTGTTTGCATTCCTTGAGGTCCCCTTTGTTCCACAAATAGCTAATGCAGTTTGCATGTAGCAGCCAAGACTGGAACAAGCAAGAGACGTTCAGCTGTGTTGAGTGACGAGGACTTACAGTGTTTGTTTGAAAGTGATTCTGAACAAAGTCTGTCATACTTGGATTTTGACTCTGAAAACGAGTTAGATGATCGTGCCTTGATTGATGCTGTTGGAAATGAGGGCTGCGATGAAGATGACAATGCAAATCAAGAATTTGTTTAGGAGCATATGGAAAACTATAGGGGTCAGAGAGAACATTTCATGGGCAGTGTTGGAGCTCGAGGCCCTGCGAAAGATGTAACGGAGGACGTTTTCAAGTTGTTTTTCGACAAGGAACTTATTGAGATCATAGTTGCAGAAACAAATAGATATGCGGAGCAGTTTCTATGGGGGCATGAACCATCAGTGAGGTCGCATTCTAAGGCATGGAAACCTGTGACAGAGGGAGAGATTTATGTTGTCTTGGGTTTGTTCATGCTCATGGGCATTGTACAGAAACCAACTCTTCGGTCGTATTTTACAACAAAAAGAGCAATTTCAATGCCAGGATTTAAAGACATTATAAGACGAGACAGACTGGAGCTAATATGTAAATATTTGCATTTCGCTAACAATGAAAACATCAGCACTTTTGAAGGACCAAAAGACTTTTCAAAATTTACCCAGTAATTTTCCATCTCAATAAGAAATTTCAGGAACTCTGTCTCCCAAACCAGGACATATAAGTTGATGAATTTATGACACTTTGGAAAGGCCGTCTGTCTTTCAAACAGTACCTCCCTCTGAAGGCAGCCAAATTTGGAATTAAAACTTACGAGGTGTGTGACTCCACCACGGGGTATTTATGGTCCTTCATCGTATATACAGGCAAGGATACAGAACTTGACTCCCCCTTGATCACAGCAGACACCAAAAAAACTTCAGCCATTGTCCTGAAACTGGTAGAACCTCTCCTGAATCAAGGTTGGACTCTGTGGATGGATAATTTTTACAATTCCCCAACTCTAGCCAGGCTACTGAAGATAACGCACAAGACTGACTGTGTTGGCACTCTGAAATTGAATCGTAAGAATGTGGCTCCAGAAGTGAAAAACACTAAACTAAAAAAAGGCGAAATCGTGGCACAACATTCTGGACCCGTTTCTGTCACAAAGTGGTTCGACAAAAAAATAGTCACCATGATCTCCACCTGTCACAGTCACAACACCAGGACTGTTACAGTTAGAGGCAAGGCGGTGGCGAAACCAGTTTCAGTATTGGACTACAATTAGTCAATGAGAGGGGTCGATTTGAAGGACCAGCTGCTTCACTCTTATTTGATCGAGAGGAAGCATATGAATAAGTGGTACAGGCAAACAAATTCAGCAATTATCATTCAGAATTCAGTTGACTGAGGGCCTGTTCGTGAAATATGTGAGTGCTGTGGAACATAAAGTGCAGGGTTTGCATCCATGAGACAACACAGTGCCCCGTCTTACAGAACGACATTTTATCAGCAAGATTCCTCCAACGGTGAAGAACTCTAGACCACAGAGAAAGTACGTTGTGTGTCAAAAGCACGGAAGGAGAAGGGACACAGTGTATTGGTGTGATGCGTGCGGCGTGGGCCTCTGCATTGAGTGTTTCTGCAACTACCAAACACAGCTGAATTTTTAAGGTATTACGATACTATTGTTCATAATTTTTATATGCTTACTGGCCCAAAAATAATTTTAAAGTAGTGTGGACCAATACTCTAATTCTATATACTTCTCTGGACGTTGTGTGAAAATCTGAAAAACAAAACTCCAGTTTTTCCCCATTTATTACGCTTTAAGTTAAGTGATGCATTTTCCGATTTAATTAGCTAAATAGCCGCCGGCATTGGAGTTGAGAAGCAATTTAAATGCCCCATGGCACTGAAGAGTTAATGACGACAAGAAAACCCAAAGCAATCCTACCCAGCAAAACTTGCCACATAAAAATATTTTCCGTGTGAAGTCTTTTGATATGATTAATCCCAAATGTTCAGCATGCAACTTTAACCATCATATACAGTCCATGTTCTGTATGGTCTATTGTAACCTTTCATGATTATCTTCCTTTTTTCTATTATATTCTCTAACGCCATACCTTCCATACCTTTTGCCAAGGATGGGATTTTATCTGTGGGAATTTGAACTCCGTGTAGTTGGGATTCATCTCTCGGATCTGCTCCCTTGTAGGAGTGCCGAGGACTTTGATGATCTCAACTAGCTGATCAACGCCCGAGTCTCCTGGGAAAATAGGTTGACCTAACAGCAACTCAGCCAACACACAACCTGCACTCCATACATCTGCAATAAACCAAGGCAGCAGTTACTAACATATCATACACTGACTGGATCTATATTTCTTACATACAGAACGTCTAACATACGTTATACAAAGTGGTCTGTTTGATAGCTATGGCTTCTTGATAAAGTAGGAACATACTCCCTCCAACTCATACCCAGAAGGAGGAGGTCATATGCTCTTCTGAAGTGTTGGTAGTCACCTACAACATAACACATTGTTTTAACCCAGAATCTTCACCACTATCCTCAAATGTCACTAAGCTGGGTGGTGACCAGAGGTAAGTGTTATGGTGAACAGACTTCTGCAAGACAACTCTGTCAAATTTGTTCCTGTGAGCATTTTTGTGTCTGTGACTTGAGTTTGGTGAGCTAAAGTATTGGACAATGCATGTTTTCTGTCGAGAATTAGAGTTATACATACTGATACATGTTAGTGACTAGACATGGGGTTTGGATTGGCATTTGGATTTATTAACCTCTCATAAATTATAACTACAAGTAACTATAATGCTATGGCTATTCACGCACCCGACTTCTCAGTACAGAACTTGCTAAGTCTTCTCAGTTTGTTTTCACTAGCCATTGCTAGTTATGGCCCCCAACAATGCGGATCCATCAGCTTCAATGTTCAACAGCTTCAGTCCTTGCTTGCTGGTGACTCCCTCACAACTAACTCTCTGATCAACTGTTATGGCAACACCAGATGTCACAGACTACTCAATGGCTGTCAACTACTAATCACTCAAACTTGGTCAGTTGGTTAAATTGCTGCTGGCCTTTGCCAGCAGTCATTCCTGGCTTCAGTCTCCTGAAGATCAATGACCAAGATCTTTGTTCTCTCCTAGACATGTACATGTTTTGAAATGGGGACTCTTCTTCAACTCAGGAGAGGTTGGTTTTTGTATGTAGGCGCTACATTTGTTGCACCGTAGTTTCAGCAAGAGTATATCTGTGCTGTTATGGTGCCCAGGTCACTATGGACTCTGTGCACCCATTGTCACTGCTCTATACAGAGTAACATTTATACAAGGTATACAGAGGTTTCCTATAGCGTGGGTTACTCCATTCTGTAGGTGCTGCAATTTCAAATGGTGAGCATCTGCAGCATACTCCCAGGTGGAACACTGACATAAACCCACTCTATAGTCCTGAGTTGGACCAAACAGAAAGCACCATTAAAACAGTCACTTTATCATTGCATGTTTATTTGTAGTTGCGGAAACTTGTTTACTGAGTCATTACCAAGTAATGGCCGTCTCCATCAGTCAACACATCACAACATTTTCACCAGCACACACTACAGAAAATTCAGTGCAGATAATGTGGCAGATAATAAATAAACAAATGGGAAATGCAGGTAGGGCAAATCATGATATATGGTTACAAAACAATTCAAAGAAAATAATACACCCGCAGAAGGTGGCGAATACATTAAACTCTTATTTTATTGATAAAGTTGAAGAACTGGTGGAGGAAACTAGAAATAGAAATAATAATAGATTACCACAATTATTAGTCGACCGAAATCCAAACTCCATGTATCTCTTCCCCATTTCTGAAGATGAAATTGTGTTAGTAGTAAATAAATTAAAAGGTAAAGCCTCTGCTGGAGTTGATGAAGTCCCTGAATTTTTATTAAAAGCATGTATTCAATGTATAAAAAAACCACTTACATTCATTTTTAATGAGTCTTTAAACCAGGGGATTTTTCCAGATTTATTAAAAATTGCAAAAGTTAGGCCTGTTTATAAAAAAGGGAACAGACAAGAAGCTAGTAATTATAGACCGATAGCGCTTTTATCTGTATTTTCAAAAATATTGGAAAAAATAATGTATTCTAGACTGGTATCTTTTACTACAAAATACAAAATTTTAACAGAAAATCAACATGGGTTTCAGAAAAATAAATCAACTACATCGGCGTGTCTGTCCTTCATTGGAAAGGTCCAGGAAGCATTGGATAGGCGGTTAGGGGTGGTAGGTATATTCTTTGATCTCTCAAAAGCTTATGACGTTATAGATCATGATATACTTCTTGAGAAATTGGAGCATTATGGAATAAGAGGGAATGCCATAATTTGGTTAAAATCCTACCTTTCTCTACGTTCTCAGTATGTCGAAATAACTTCAAATGACAATAAATATCGTAAGAAGAGGTATAATTCCTCATTTAAGAATGTAAAATTTGGTATACCCCAGGGTTCCATCCTGGGCCCACTGTTGTTTTTACTTTATATAAATGATTTACCCTATCATATATTTGACGGTGAAGTTGTCCTTTTTGCAGATGATACTAACATATTGGTAACAGATAAAAATATAAATATTCTCCAAGATAAGATAGGAGAGGTGATGATCCAGTTAGAATCGTGGTTTTCAAAAAACAATTTGATTATAAATACGGAAAAGACCAAAGCAATGCTGTTCCAATTAAACAAATCATACTATATGTCTGAGCCAGTAATCACCTTCAAAAATATGAAAATTAGTTATACCTCACAGTTTAAATTTTTAGGTGTTAATATATCAAATAACTTAAAATGGAGCTCACATATTCAATCTTTATGTCTAAAATTAAATAAGGTGTGTTATATTATAAAATCCTTGAAAGATGTAGTGAGTTTCTCTACGCTCAGGAATGTTTATTTTGCTAAATTTCAGTCCTTAATAAGTTATGGTTTGATTTTTTGGGGGGGAGAGTGTGAAAGCAGTAAAATACTGAAAATACAAAAAAGGATACTTCGATTAATAAAAGGCGTAAATAGTAGAACTACATGCAGACCAATCTTTAAAGATCTAAAGATCCTAACTGTTACCTCTCTGTACATCTTTGAGGTATTGTGCTACTTCCAGAAATTTAATCTGTATACTACTAGAAATTCAGATTTATATGAATATAATACTAGAAGAAAAGAGGACTTCCATGTACGAAGCTGTAGCACATCTACCTCTAAAAAAAGTGTCATAAATATGGGTATTAAAGCTTACAATAGATTGCCTTTGAAAATAAGAAAATTAAATGGATTCAAAGATTTTAAATATAAATTAAAATTATTTTTACTTGATAACCCATTTTATACAATGAAGGAGTTTCTCTTTGAGGGACTGCAGGATGAATAGAGAAACTCTGCTCAAAATCCTTAATGATGATTTGATGATGTGTTTTTATCCTTGATGAGTATGGTTGTGATGGTTACTTTAGTAACTTGATTTTAAAGTAGTATTTTTAAAGTTGGTCGATTAAGCATAAAGGCAAATAAACTTGAAATTAACTTATTTATATTTAAAATAAATCTAAAATTTGTGTACTTGTATTCTGTATTGTAGTTTTAATTAGAGTATGTCTCTGTTGACTTAGGAACCCTTTAGGCCGTGGGCAAAGGATTCCCGAATGATTGTACTACATGTTATGACTTGTCCATGTGTTACTTTGTAACAGTTACGGATGTTAATAAAGATGATGATGATGATGATGATGATTTATGGACTGTTTTTGTAAAATGAATATCAGAAGAGGACTATACCACTCATGTTCCCCAGACATAACTCACACATCTGGAAAGTTTCAGAGGTAAAAATCCAAAAATGTTATTCTAAAAATGATGGAAGATGAACTTTAAAACAAATTCCACAGAATCTGTCATGTGAGTGTGAACTGTGCTTGGATGGAGGATATCATTTTCAGCAGCTACTCTGACATAAGTGGCTTTACTGAAGACATTTTTTGAGCATTACAGTTATCTTCATGTGTGTTCCATCTAACGAATCCATACAGGAAGGAGCCAAGTGTTCTGTATCTTACAGCACTTCCAATGGTTCAAAGAAAAGACACAACAAATTCTCATACAATGGCTATAAACTATAAGCAAATCACAAGATCAAATATAGTGACTGATCCGGAATTCTTAGCTGGCAATGTAAAAGTAAAGTTGTTCCTGTGCTAAACTAATTAAGCACTACACCATGAAGATGTATGGGAGAGTGGACGTATAGATCCACATTTTCTTGGCCTTGATACTAGTTGGAGGTCAGTGGTCAGCTTCACGCCCTGGCCTCTTTAAGCCCAGGGAAAGAGTCCCTGGTACTTGTTGGATAGGAGGCTGGGTGGGCCGCAGAGCTGCCCTTGAAGATGTGGAGAAAATTCTTTGCCCTACTGGGACTCAAACTCTGACGCATTGGTCATTCAGCCCATAGTTAGTTGCTATAATGACTATACTGTCTTATTCCTATGCTCAATTAAGTACCATGCTATAAGGATATATGGGGGATTGAATGAATGCTCAACCATTCTTAGCACTGGCACTAGGTAGAGGTGAGTAGTCAGTTACATGCCACTCTCACTTCATCCCTGGGGAAACAGCCACACTACCATCTACATGTAAAGGTGGATGGGCCTGAGAGCTCATCGCAATGCTAAGGAGAAGAGAGAAATCCTTACCCCTGTTGGGAATAGAATGTCAATTCCTTGGTCACCAAGCCCACAGGCTAGTTGCTATATCAACTGAGTTATACTAGTTCCATTCTTATGTAGTGTCCAAATCACAACATGTTTAACATGTTTAGAACCTTCTGTGTGATGCCTGAATCCAGTCTTTGTTCACAGACTTACATGACTCACTTGAAATCATGAAAGACACTGGACAGAATTTTTCTTGTTGAGATAATCGTTTTACCATGTATTGAAAATGCAGTATAAATACCGAACTTCTAGACTCATTTCATTCCAAAATCATTTTAAAAACTACTAGTGCTCACAAAGAAGAATATCAGTACTTTATAACAAAGTTAGTCATACTGAAGTAGCTTCACTGTTTACAAAGACATAAAAAGTTCAAACAATTTTTTGGCATTTCTTGGAATCAACAATCATGTTGGTTTAGATCCGTCACCGGCAAAGCGAGCATCGTTTCCTATGCATGTGATATGTAAGGTGTGATCTACAACAGGTTATAACTGTCACATAAAGAATTTCAAGCAACAATGTCTAAAAATGTGATTTTCCTTCAATTTACTGCATGGATGTTCTACTATGGTTGTAATAACAGCAGTACTTCAATGAATAGCCATCTAGACACTTATAGCTTCACAAAGGGTTTGCTTCCAAAGTTTGCAACAATCACTGCCACCATAAGAGAATCATTTTGTTTTGTGCATTAAGAATCTGGCATACCTATCTTAGTAGTGTAATCAATGGCCCCAAATATAAGTTCGGGTGCCCGGTAGTAACGTGAACAGATGTACGAAACATTAGGTTCCCCTTTGACAAGATGTTTAGCGCTGCCAAAGTCACATAACTTGAGCACACCCGTCTCAGGATCCAACAACAAATTCTGAGGTTTGATATCCCGATGGCAGATTCCCAAAGAGTGGATGTACGCCAGGCTCCTGAATAACTGGTACATATACAACTGTAAGAACAACAAATAAGAACAGAATTAAAACACAAAGCTGATACAAAGAAGGTAACAATAACAACACTCGCATCAAAATTTCTATTATTTCTTAAACCACAATGGCTAATCCAATTCTTAATAATATTAAGAAAACACAAAACATTCAGGAACAAGATATGCAGAAAAACACACAGCAAGGAAGAAGACAATGCACCAACTCCAACTCACAAGCAGACTGAAGAGACCGCCATACATATTAACATCACAAGACAGCAGTTTCCTCATCAAAAAGACTTTAACACCTGATGGCCATATTGGCCAAAACATCTAGTGAACTTTCAAACTTTTAAAGTTAATAAGTTTTGTGGGACATGGTGTTGCATGAAAGACTGTGATTAATAGAAGCTCAGTTCTTAATACTTACATAAACCATAAAATGCACAGGCATCCTCTATGATATCTTGTACTAGGGGGGTCTACATTACAAGACATTTAACTTACAGTCTTGCTTTCTGACTATAATGCAATAGTAATTTAACAACATTAGTTCACACTTAATTTACTAAATGTGTGAATTGACATTACAATTATAAAAATATATGTACATTCTGTGTTTAATGCTACATGTTTCAGCCATTTAGAGCCATCTTCAGGCAACTATTTCTTTTAAAGGAGCCTATAGCACTGTGCACTTGGTCAAATAGTATTCATTAAGGCATGTCACTTTGTTACTATTATGCTGTAGGTAGTGTTACTTTGTGTTCCTTACACCTTCCCACTGGGTATGCCACTTGCTTAGTTGTGTGTATTTATAGACAACTAAGCAAGTGGCACACCAAATGAGGCACAAAAATAGCTGCAATACACAAGATAGGAATCAGAATTAAAAAAGTTAATAATAATGACGTGCCTTAATGATACTATCTGACAAAGTGCACAAAGTGTTGCCTGAATATGGCCCTATGTGGCTGGAGCATTTAGCATACACACTGAATGTACATATATTTTAATGACATTTTAAACATTTAATGAACATTCAGTGAATTAAATGTCAATTAATGTTGTTAAATTAATATTGTTGCATTACAGATCGAAAACAAGACTATAAGTTATACTTCAATGCAACAGGATGCCAAAATATAATATTACAAGATGTTATATGAATTTAATCTGGCTCCCACCGTCAAAAATAAAGTTCATACACAGCTCATTAACTCCAGAAGTGCCAAAAATTTTGACCTTATGCACGTACCTGTGAAACCCATGTAAAAAGCCTGGCTCTTATACAGTGGCATCTCTTGGCATTTTATCTGAATAACATAGTCAAGAAATTCATGCCCCAGCCGTTTTAGTCCCCGGTACCAACTATATAGGCCTCAGAGTCGGTCTGCCTGTCACTATCCTAAGTGAACTATCCTGGCTCTAAACCACTATAGTAGCAAATTTATGTGAGAAAGAAGAAAGTTTTGATTCAGTTCAGCTTGCCTTGAATTCATAAATGTTTTGAAGCATTACATCTTGGATACAATTTCGTATAGTCCACTAAAGACAACCAATGATTCAGCGGAAAATGTAACCTCCATCTTCAGGATTGAAGAATTGCCTAGCACGAGAAGAATATAGCTTGCTTGCTGGTTTCTTACTTGGCTTATTCCTTGATCCTGAAGATGGAGGTAAAATGTTCCCCCCAAACATCAACTTTCAACAAACTACACAGCATTATATTCCAGAAGATGGAACCCGTTATAACCATTGCTGACAAAACATCAAATCCTACATATGTTTTATTCTTTTAATACTTTTGTGCATGGCTTTGAAGCACATCTTAAACAAGTCATATATATGTAATTTCCTTGTAGTGTGTCATAACAGTGAACAGGATTCTCAGTATTGGTTGTTTACATATTAAGTAGTATAGGCCTACAGTTCTGACTTCTGACCAACCTGATTAAGTATCAAAACTAACTGCATGTGAATTTATTATTTACTTACCATAGGGGCATATCCATCACAGTTTATCTAAAATATGGCAGCTCCAGAATTACAGGACATTACTTACCTTCTTATGTCAGATTTATCTGATGTGTAATTTGCAGAGCATGAAAGGTTCACATGCCATTTATAATTCCTTTTGCAGAAAGCACCTGTTAAAGTGTCTTGTTTGAAACGCAACTGGGGATACTTATAACATTAAAACATAAAGTTATGCAGTCATCCACAGTTCCTCAACACAGCTGCACATCATATATAACTGTCATATAAAATACTAGTAATCACTCACCTTTATAAAACTAATAGGTATCGTCTGTTTAGATTTACTGTAATGCCTAGCAACTTTGTACACAGTCTCGGGGATATATTCCAGTACTAGGTTCAAGTACACTTCATCCTTCTGAAAAACAATAATATTACAAAACCAGTTAAAGGAAGGAATAAAAAGTGTTAGCTTCTGCATTTTAATTCCTCTCAAATGCTATCTGGCTTATAATGATGATGATGTAAGAAGGCCAGTAAACAAAGAGGAAATTAAATAAATGCTCATGATCCATAATGAAGATACAAGACAAAATCATAATGAAAATTTGGCCAAGTCCAGATACTAGGGAATGACAGTAACAAATCACACCACATTAACAACGAAATTAAAAAGAGATTAAATATGGGGGGGGGATGACTGCCACATAAGCTTGGAATCTTTTTCTCTCATCTTTTCCTTCTTTAATATGGGAGTAAAACGTAGCCCCATCCTATGAGAATAATACTGATTGAGCGTGTTTCACAACCACCTATGGGACACAAAGTAACAGGAGGATAGAGAAAAATATATGAGGGGCTTTTTTGTTGCCAGTAGGGTGGGACTAAGTCCCTTGTACCGCAGCCACTTCTGGCCTATTCTACCAGCCCCAGATGATAGGTGAGGATGATTGTGGAGCAACTGGCGGAAGTTCAATGCTGGTAAAAACTAAAACCAGCTGTTTTTTTAAAATCAAACTACTAAAATGAAACACAAAAACAGCAATGAAAATAAAAAGAACTCTCTTAAACATTCTCCACCCTTTCTATTTACCTCATTCCTGTCAGCTACAAAGTATTATTAGGGAGGGGGGAAGCACTTTGGGGTAAGAAAATATGTTATTCTAGCCATTGTTAATCCTATATGGGTGGAAACATAAATAAAAGGTATAATATTCAGCACATGGTTATAATGCAGAAGAAAATTATTGAAGTTGTTGGCAGAAGGCTTACAATTGTGGGCCTGCACAGAAAGATCATGTTGCTGCCCTCTAACACAAAGGGCTAAAATGAATTGCAGATGGGAAGAGTGTTCCAGTGGTATTTGGAGGCAACAAGAATACAGCAAATCTCTGTACCTATCACTGAAGTAAATGCACCTCCACCCACCAAAGCCGCAAGAGATTAGGGTACACCTAATTACACGCTCTAAACAATTATACAAATCCTATGAGGAGTACAAATTTTAAATCCACGTTTGTTGAGTGGGCAAATGTTTTGAGCATAACAAAATGAAATTTCAAGAAGAAAACTGTTGCTGCTGTTGTCACTGTAACAACAACAATTATAACATCATCATCATCATCATCATCATCATCATCATCATCGTTTATGAACATAAAAATTTTCAAATAAGTTCTCCTGTACTTGTGATTCCATTCTTCAAAACCAAACTTCAAACCTGAGACTTATTTTCTAACCAATAAACCTGAGAAACTGTATTCTTATCATGTGTTCCAGTCCAAGTGTGTTTGAGAATTTCTGCCACTCAGGGAACTGTTCAACTCAGACAAGATAATGTGCTTAATGAGCAGTAGCTATACCACATAAAGTAATGGAGTAAATTACCCTCCCTTAATCCTCCTTCAAGGTCATGACCAAAATTACAGTGTCTGATGTCTAATGACTTAGAAGAATGCAGTCTTCTGGGATTTGGCACCGTGTATATGTGGTGTTAACCTCCCCACACCACTGCTTTCACTTGTTCACTTGCAGTTCATCCCCTTCCCTCTCTGCTCTAACGGTATACTCTTTAGTCTGCTTTATCGTGTCTCACGGTGTTGTCGCTTGCAGATTTACTTATACTTTTTCTTCAACCCTGAAGATGGGGGCGATACGTTCCTCCGAAACGTCGGTTAACACCACATATACACGGTGCCAAATCCCAGAAGACTGCATTCTTCATAGTCACCGCCGTGAAAGCCTCAAATCTTATCTAATGACTTAGTTTGTAGTACTCTTCTTGCAATCGCCCAGAAAATTGGAGGAGGATAAAACTTAAACTCAGTTTCAAATGTCAGCCAGTGAGCTAACCTATTCAGTCCAATGAAATGAAATGACATGTGGTATGAAGTTATAATTTCTAACAAATTTGGAATAAGAAGTCAGCAAATGGGCAATGAAAATTCTGTTTAACACCAACTACACTTCTTTTTGTTAAAGAAATAAAATAAAAGTTGGATTCCTGCCAACAAATAGGACACCCATCTGCCAAATAAATATAATCAGAAAACTATCTGCCTGCATTAATTAGAAGACAGGCAATTCTCAAGCACCTGTGTCTCAGTATTTGTTGTGATATGTCTGATCTTAATGTATGTGTGATGGATTACAAGGTACGCTGCTGAGTGATATAATGCCAACAAGTGCAGTTAATAGCTATGGTTTTGAAGAACACAGTCATGGCATATTTGCAGTATTCTGGAAACCGTCCAGAGAGACTGAGGGAAACCATAAAAACTCTGTAAGATGCTATGTAACCCAGTTACATCAATTACCTACTGAATATGACCCTACACATTACATATAAATTCTTACAATGATGATTATGAACAGTATAATCAACTGGGCTGTAACACTGTGTATTTTGGCAGAAACCCTCTTCTGTTTTGGGAGAACATACTGTCTCCATCTTCAGGGTTGAAGGGTAGGCCTAGCAAGAAACCGTGGCAATCAGTTTGGTCTCTTGCTTGGCTTACTCTTCAAACTTGTTCCCTCAGAACGCTGGTGGACCTGTACCAACCTACCCACTGTTACAGCCAAGTAGACTGTGTGCTCTTCGAAGGAAAACTTAATGCTTCACGATTTATGGCCTATCAAACACATACAAATTTTAACTTTAATAACTGTAAAATGCAATGTACATCTTTCACAAACAGAATTCTGCCTTACATATAAATAAATAAAGGAAATGATTCACTCTAGTACACTGTTAATGGCATATTGTGGCACAGCTCACCTCTCCAAGGCAGAAGTAAAAACATAAGCGAGGGGCCTTTATGGATGTGGACGAAGAGATCCTTGTATAACTGCGATCATTTTGGTCCAATCTCTAATTCTTAAATGACAAATATAATCTACAGTTATAACTGGTTAATATGTTGAGTTTAGCACGTGAAAAATAAATCTGACAAGAATCCAGTACAGCTGGGTTTGCTTCAACAAATGTAAAAAGAAATATCAGTGCTTAACCTTTATGTGACGGCCCTTTAAATTCCGGTAATGGCACCGGGACAGATTTGATTTAAATACCCGCAATTTTAAAGCAATAAAAACTGTAATCATTTCCTAAAATTGCTGTGATTTCTACAATTTTTGTGATAGACGAACCAAATAAACGCTGTTTTTTTTAGAAAGAATATAGAATCAGATATTGTAATTTACAGACTTTATAAAATGTGTAAACATTTTTAGACTGATTCCAAATAAAAAATTCCCAAATTTGTCGTCTGTCTACAAGAATTCAGAGTTTTTGGAATGAAGAATGCTGTATGTAGATGTTGCAACACAGTGGATGGTTTATGTTGTAGCCATGTTTAGTCTTGCATGTCTCCAAAGATTATACACGTACTTCATTTCGGTATGCAGAGATGTGGGGTGAGTATCTATTCATACAAGAACCCTGAATGTTTATTATCGCTTGTCGCAACACAACAAGCTCTCTGTTCTCACTGCTGGAAGTAGATTATAAGTACTTTCATGGTTATCATCCTAATACCACAGCCAAGCAGTATCAAAAGTGTGAACCAACCATCCTGCTGTCTCCTTTGTAAGACGCTGACATATTTCAACTCATAAACGACTCGACTAGGAATCAGATTGTTGTACATTCAATTCTGAGAGTGGCGTTGAGGAAAGTGAATCAGAAATTGATTTCGACGAAGACTCAGCATCTTGGTCGGCAACCTGGGGACCACCACACCAGCATGGCAAGAGGAGTGTGAATAATTATTCAGGTGCAGCTGTGGGCAAACTGTGGCAAACAGTTATAGCATCTGTCGTCGAACCTGGAAATGGACAAATAAACTATTTTTCCATCTCCTGGATCTGAACAGTTACATCCTGTTGTCACACAGAGAATTTCGTCTCGCTCTTGTGCGGAACATGCTGGAAGGGGTCCACCTCGCCAACAACGGCCCAGGGGTCGAACCCCTGCCGTTTTATCGGAGATATCTCGATTATAGGAGGCCAAACCACATCACTGGCCGACTTACTCTACTTCGCAATTGAGGTGTCGTGTGTGCTTTTTGCGTGGGAAACGAAGAACCGTCTAGACAAAGCGCGTGAAGTGCGACGTCGGACTCTGGATTTCCGGATGTTTCCAAGATTTCCACACGAAGCCAACATTCCGTTAGACAACACAGGTGGGAAGAGAGACAACTTATACAGCTGGTGACCAAAAATCATGTTAAGTAGAAAAAGAATTTATAACGTAAAATTAGATTTTAAAAAGCCGGCCGCACGCGTGGACTGCGCGATGACATATGGCGTCATTCGTCCCCTTGACTTTATTTTCATGACGCCATATGGTGTCGCTCGGCTCTTAAAGGTTAATTCTATGGAGCATATTACAACAAAATATAAAAAACATAAAAGTTTCATACCTTGTCCCCACTAGAGTAGAAGAAGTACTTAAGTTTGACTATATTACAGTGTTCTAAACGTCTCATAATCTGAAGTTCACGGTTCTGAAAAGAAAATATCACAGCAATGCAACAGATTCATAATGCTTTTAATGGAAACAAGGTGATAAAATCAGTAATTTCAAGTTTACTTGATAAATATAACACATAATATATAAAACTGGATTTCCCTTGCAGAATCATTACATTGATTTTATCTGTAAATATCTCAGTAGTATATTATTCCCACATCTCGTGTAAAATAACACAAATGGAGAACTGGAGATGCTTTTCTCTTTCCTGATTAACTGCTGCATAATCTATCTGAATTTCAGACCCACTAACAGCCTTCCACTCTTTACAGAGAATAACAGTCTTAATAACTTTTGAACCAAATATGGCAGATTGTCATGAAACTTATGGACATCATTCCACTGGAGTTACGTCAATTGTGTATACACAAGAATATAGGAGGAGTACTCCTATAGGGGAGGATTGATGTAACTCGTGAATTTGAAGTGCGACGTATAGATGATAAATCTTGAAAACTTTAATATATAAACTTTATTATTATACATGACATATATACATTTTAATCATTTTATAAAGGAGACATGATGGCATACAGTGCAATGGTTTGACGTAATATAACACACCAGAAGATGGCACACTGATGCCGAAACATGTAGTGAAGGGAAAGATGAAATTGTGTGCACTGTAAGACGGTTGGTACAAATACACATCATGGACATGAATCAGTGCAACAGGATGCTAAAATATAACACATGAAACATGTTCACATGTCTGCATAATGGCAATAACTACTGGAAATATGTGAAAGTCCATAAACATTCACATTTTAGCATGAAATATTTCTTCTGTATATTAAGAATTAAAACATGATAATGGAATCAAATTCAAAGGTCATATGTGACAAAATTTCACTTCAAGAAAATTTATACTAGTGGAGATTATGCACAGTAATAGATTACTAAAATTACTGCACTTGCTGTATATAAATATACATTTAATGTAAATAAAAACACATCATTTACAAATCCAGTCTATATTTCAGAGCAGATTTCTCAATATATCTTAGGCAAATATGATTAAAATCTAATAAAACATTACAATAATGACAAAAAACAAAATCACCATAATTAAAGACTTCTAAATTAATCCCATCTTTCTCTTTTCGAACAATTTTAATGATCCCTCTAGCGTTGAGACAGTGACTAAATATACTCTGCAATGTTGTTCACTACCTTTCTCTGTAATTGTTTTATGTCTGGACTGCACCACAATTGTTTATAATGCTGCATACACCACATTTCACTCAACATTTATATCTGTGATGTATATAAAAGCCTCTAATAAAGACAACATTTCAATACTTTTTCTGTTCCAGCCTTGATAAAACATTTAGGTACCACAATATGTCTATACTGACCACCTGTGATACCACTCAAGCAGCAGCAACTTACAGGGAATACTGTTAACAGTTCCAGTTTTTGTGCCTATGGTAAAGTTATCCCTGTAACAGGCCATGGAAGCATGACATTGAGGACTGACATTTCCTAGAAAATTGGCTCACAGATGGCAGTGAGGTTGTCAGCCTTACATGCTGGCTGCCCTTTACTCACAGAGAGATTCCTGGTACTCATTTCTGTTAGATGATCAGTAGAACCCAGGGCCACAGTATGGCTAGGATTAGGTTAATTAAAAAAATTCAATGACCACATTGGTAATGGAACCTGCAACCGTCCTGCTTAGTACAGCAATTTTCCTGGCACACTTCAACTTCCATCAGGTGACATTTCTGAAAATGTTTCAGAACAACGATGTTATTAAATTCATTGCCTGTTTTAGATAATTTCTGTTTTCTTTCACTGCTGCAGTTCTCTCAAGCATTCAGAATCATATTCCTGTGCAGGTTAATGTTTCCAACACCTCTGTCTATTAAATTAAAACGTCCTTTTTATGCTGCATGTTTAACTCATCTTCTGTTGCTGTGAAACCGTCATATTATCACGTGTCAAGAGTGTGACTACTGACGGTGTTTGGACAGGAGACTGGATTTACTGACCACTTTAACACACTACTTGTTACTACACTTAATTATAAATCCACTGCTGATCTCCACACTTTACAAATCATTACAGCACACGCTGTCTTTTCAGTCTGCCATGTCTTCTCCAGTCGTTCTCTGGTAATGGCCTCTAACAGTCACCATTCTTCAGCTCCTGCACTCATTTTGTTGCCCACTGGCTCTAAACTGCAAGGACTGAGTCTTCTCTTCATAGATTCTCTACAAATCTTATCAACTCTTGCACCACCTGTTTTCCTTATAACATCTCAGCAAGGACCTTGCAGAAAACACTGTTCATTGTTGTACGTCCATCGTTTCTTTGGGAACATGTCTGTTTGCCAAGGCATTATTCAGTAATGGCTGCATATACTTGCTGCCTAGCAGCAGATGTTATTACTACTACATGGCACTGTGTGCAGACTCTTGAAGAAACAATGACATGATGGATCAGAGACACAAGAGTAGGTATGTGACTGAACTTTGCTTGGAAAATCTAAAAATCCCTTACCTTACAGAGAAAGCTGGCTAAGTAATATTGATCACATAACAGCATAAAGAATGGAAGGTTGAAGGGAAATTACAAATATTGCTATAACGCCATTAACAGAAGGGTAGGATGTACCTGTTTTGCGAATTCCACTGCATACTGATCGCAAAGAAAGAGCAGAATAGATGTTTAGCAGTAACATGGGGCAAACTGGTACAGGGCCTTCCATTTGTACAGACTGGCACAAAATATTAGTCTCTTTTTCTGCGTGGCCATCATAGAAGGGTTAAAATAAGTACAGAACCACAGAATGAAATGCACGAAGAGTTGCATGATAAAAGATAGGTGGCCAAGTCACAGAAGGTTGGCCATGAATAAATTTATACAACTTTGCTTATTAAAAATGTTGCCATTGACAGGTGGCCAACTTCACACATTTCACTGTAGTCTGGTTATGGCGAAATTTGTCCCATTTTTTCTATTGCTAGTGGGGTGAGACTAAGTCCATTGTACTGTGGCCACTTCTGGCCTATTGTACCAGCCCCAGATGATACATGAGGGTGATTGTGGAGCAACTGGTGGAATGAAGATTGGCAGGGGAACCGAAGTACTCAGAGAAAACCTTCCCCAGTGCCACCGTTCACCACAAATCCCACTTGACCACAGCCGGTATCGAACCTGGGCCACCGTGGTGGGAAGCAAGCAACTAACCGCTTGAGCTATGGCGTGGCCAAATTTGTCCCATACTGATTTGTTAAATTAAATCCACACAATCCAGTACCTTTATGATGCTTGCAAATCATAACTGTAAAAGGCAAAAGGATTGGGCATAATGCCATGAATATTGTATTTTTGCATCCTACTGCATTAATGTATCACTCTACACACTCTCTTCTGTCTTTAGCGCAACTCTGTTCACAATCTCTCAATTTAAAACAACATTAAAATCACAATCAACTGCTACATGTTTCGACCTTACTTGGCGCTACTTCCCTTTTGTTGCATTTGTGTTTAATTCAGGCACTGAAATATTTTGACTTAAGAACTAGTTCTATGTGGCAGTTTCTAATAGTGAACAGTTGCTGAAGATGGGCAAGTAAGGCAGAAACAAGCAGCAGCTGATTGTGATTTTAATGTTATTTTAAATTAGGGGCAAATTGTTGCATTAAAGACACAAGTGAATATACAGAGTGATAATGCCGTGAAGAAACACAGTGGAGGTAAAGTTTCATGCTTACCTAATCTTGGGACTAAATGGGGGTTAGACGACAGATTCACAATCAAGCTGATTTACCATTACCCACTGGATAAGAGATTGGGTTCATCCCAGAGATGGTATGGACATGGTGACAAAGAATAAAAGTCCCTGCCCATGGGGGAAATAAAACCTCCTGTACAGCCTGTAGTCAATCACTGAACTGAAGTATCCAAACTCAATACCATGATCTTATCCATGTCTTCTAGACATATCACACATCACAGAATTGTCACATAAAATTCCAATGGCTGAATGCATATGGCCATTTGTGAAATTCCTACCTAAATATTGGTTAACAACACATATCAAGCAACAGTGGTTTCTCAAATTTCAGTTATCAGTAAAATAAAATTGTAAATTGTAAAGTAAAATTCTGCCATAGCTGCTAACATTAATTTATTTAATGTTCTTCAGTTTGCTTTTTTTTTCTTTTCACTGTCATGGCTGCTAAGATCAATTTTCATGGTAATCCACACTTTGTTTTTCTCTATTTGATAGTCCTTTCTTTGTAGCTGCTAATATCAATTCACAGGGTAATTCTTATGTTCTTAGATTTGTTTTTCCTTTTGTCACAGTTGCTCATATCAATTTACAGCATAACTGCCATTTAATGTTCTCCAATTTGATTTTCAAAACTCAGAGTTCAATTAACTATGGTTTTATTTCAGTTATCACAACATTAAAATTGTTCCATTTAAGATCTTCTTGTGTTCAGTCCCACACCCCTCCTCGAAAAGTAATCAACACGTATTACACCCTTTTGTTACTGACTGGTCATCATGTAACACTGCTGGCTATTAACCTCAAAGAAGAGAAATTTGAAAATGAAAATTATCTGTTTGCAGCTTATTACATAACACCATCTGTCACAATAAGCAATGTAATAGTTAAGGCAAAAAAGGTAAAATGTAACAGGCTGTTAGGCCCACAGGGTTGTGAGACGTCGAGGCTCCCACATTTTCTAGACAATCAGCTCCCAGATGGTGGTGAGGTTGTCAGCCTTATGCGCTGGCTGCTCTTTACCTCAGGAAGATTCCTGGTATTTATTTCTGTTAGAGGCTGAGTCGACCCCAGGGCCATAGTGCGCCTGGAAGGATTAGGTAAATTGATAAATCCAATGACCTCGTCAGGAATCGACTAGTAACCTTCCGGGAATATCCTTGTGACCAGACCACAGAAACTTACTTTCAGACTGTGCTGAAATGTATGTGGGTCATAGTGTAAGCAAGAGGTGGGATAGAAGCATGCATAAAATTATGTGACCTTCATAATACTTATGATTACGAGCAATAAGTACGATCATTAGAAGTAGCTGATATACCATGTAGGAAAGCACAACAACCAGTACTTTGAGGAATGAAGTATAAGGGAATAAAGTGCATATACACTTCTTACTTTGAACAGAGGTGGAACCCAGTACCTCACCTTGAACCTCTTATCCTGAAGAACCTTCTTGATGGCCACCATTTCCCCAGTGTCACACAATTTTGCTTGGTATACTACGCCGAAACTTCCATTGCCTATCACCTTGGTGTCGGTGTAGGATACTTCCTGGGGCCGGTCGGGACCTTGTCCAGGGGTGGCCACCACCGTTGTCACCTTGTTGCCATCCTTGCCTGGGTACAGACATGCAGAGAGAAAGAACATAGGATCTTTATTTTACGGTGTAACAATCACATTATACAGAACTATACATTATAGGATAATTAAGACTGAATACACTTGACCTTTACAAACCCAAGCAGTTATAAAACAAAATAGTAAAGTACAGCAATAATGTAATATACGAGAGAGAATCAGTAAATAGGCCACAAATGGATATAAAACATAAAGCATGTGATATTCGAACCTGAAAGAAACATTCATTTCCCGACGATCACCATTCTGACTACTGAAACCAGCCTCTGAATATGAGCATGCATGTCTGCTACCTAGGCTGTCATGACACTGGACTCTGCTGCTACCTATTGATACACTCAGTAAACTTATTACGTCTATTACAGCTGTTATACTTCTATTTGTAACCTATTTACTGACTCTCCCTAGCACGAGTCTTCGGGTACATTCTGCAAATTTTATCTGGCACATTAAAAATTGTTCAATTAAATTAAGTAAGCAAAGTAAGTAAAGTTGTCTCTGTGCTTAACTAATTAAGCACTATGCCATGAAGGCCTATGGGGGGAGGGAGATGTATAGATCCACATTTTCTTGACCTCGGCACTATCTGGAGGTGAGTGGTCAGTTTCACCCTCCTGCCACTTTACCGCTGAGGAAAGACCTCTGCAGTACCCACTGGATAGGAGGCTGGGTGGGCACCACAGCTGGTCTGGACGATGTGGAGTAGGGAATATTCTTGACCCTACCAGTACTCAGAACTATGACTCCAGCCCATAGCGATTCGCTATACAGACTATACTATTCCGGCTTCAATTAAACAAAAATTATATGCACACGCTTAGTTGACGGTAGGAGAGAAACTCTAATAAAAGTATGCTGAGGAATATCCAGAATTGCTTCATGCATCTCTCTTTGGCTTACAATGTGATCCTCAATTAGAAGTGTAAAGACTTCCATTAACAAAGGTGTCTTCGATACAAAATTGAAATGGTGCAGAGTTGTGGAGAAAATATGTAGGTCGTACTGAAAGTCGTGAGCAACAATGTTTTGCAAAGTAACATGCTTTATTATTGACTAACCAAATACACCACCTCAATCTACAGACCTTTCTTTATATTTCCACATGATCGCCACTTCTTTGTACACATTTCTCCCACCGTTCTGGGAGTTTGAAAATTCCCCTTCTGTAAAATTCCGTTTCAGCCATCCGAAGACACTGATGCACTGCTTTCTGAATTCAGTGTGCTTATGGAAGCGTGTGCATGGGTGCGAGCAGTGTTTGAAGATGGGTGAAACATTTTAAAGATGGGAACACCAGCATTGAAAATGAGCCTCGGAGCAGTCGTCCTCGAACAGCCTTGACTGAACACAACAAGGAAAGAGTGGATGAGATCATTGAAGATGTCAGGCGTGTGACTGTGGACACAATAGCCTGAAAACTTGTAACAGGGCACAGTGCAGTACAGGAGATGATTGAAAGCTTGGGCTATATGAACGTTTTGCTCGTTGGGTCCCGTGGTTATTGACCGAAGACCACAAAGGTCACATTGGAAGCAATTGCAAAGATGGGGTGGGAAGTTCTTCTGCATCTCTCCTATAGCCCTGATCTGGCACCCTCTGACTACCATCTTTTCAGATTTGTGAAGGATCAACTGCGTGGATATCGTTTTGAGACAAGGGAGGCAACTCAGAAAGCAGTGCGTCGGTGTCTTCGGATGGCTGGAACGGAATTTTACAGAAGGGGAATTTTCAAACTCCCAGAACGATGGGAGAAATGTGTATAAAGAAGTGGCAATTATGCAGAAAAATAAAGAAAGGTCTGTAGATTGAGGTGGTGTATTTGGTTTGCCAATAATAAAGCACGTTACTTTACAAAAAATTGTTGCTCATGACTTTCAGTACGACCCTCGTAATATAACTGAATGCTCCCATTTCACTAATTCTTTATTCAGAAAGATGGATTTTTATTTTCCTTCAAGAAGATTTAAGATTTCTCTTGTTTTTCTGAGACAAAAGTCTGGCATATTACCTCTATCACTGCCTGTATTTCTCTAATATAACTATGGGCTTGAAAAAGCAAGCACAAATATTCATAAGCCCCTTTTCCATGAGCATTTGTGGTGTGTCCGCAGTGAAGGAAAACATGGGGAAAATTTTCAAAGATTCTAATTTTCTCAGCTGCTTAGGGGCTGCAAGTGGCAAGCACATTCTTATATTAGAGCCCTTGAACATAAGCTTTCTTTTTTGTAAATAAATCATTTCAATAAATTTGTTGGCAGCTACTGATTCAAATTAGTGCTTTACTTTTGCAGAAGGTGGATCACACAGGAAATGTTCTACACAATCATCCAAGAAAGTACTTTTGGTCCACCACGTCCTTGTGTGTTTATTAGAGATGAATTTGTGTCATCAATGACCCCACTGTAGCAATTCAGAAGAAAACATTTACTACCATCTGTATCAAGCAGCAGAATTTATCACATGCATTTCCAACATAATATTCAGTAAGTGAGGAATTTCCACAGGCTCCTAAATGAGCACCGATTTTACACACGAAAACGCCAGGACAGCTCAGTTGGCGTAGTGACAGGCTATAGGTTGGGGTTTGATTCACTGCACGGGAGACAGATTTTTCTCAGCCCAGGCCTGCTCTGGAGTCAACCCAGCCTCACACCCAATGGGCACTGGTGGTTCTTTTCCAAAGGTAAAGCGGCCAGAGCCGAGTTAAAGGATGGTGGAACCACTGCCTCCATCCCTCATATGCCTTCAGGGCATGTTGTTTAATTAATTAATTAATCACAAGAGAAAATTTATCTTTTTCTTTATAGTCAAATGATGTATGTATCTTATTATTTCATGTATAAAAGAGATGGTTATAATTTTGTGCACAGAAAACCTATTTGGTAATTATTTTTGCAAGCAGTGAAGACAGACGGGTTCTAGGTTCCATTCATTCTGCTGAAAGTTAACTAATGTTTCGGAGTAACATGTCGGTTGGCTTCCATCAGATTATATGATGATTTATCACAACCACTGCCGTGAGAACCTCACACAGTGAACAAAATTACAATGGCAATATGATGAAGTCCAAATGAAATGGTGCGTGGAACAATGCAAAATATGAAGTTAAAATTTCAATGATAAAACGACATTTAAGAAATACACGGTACTGTAATTATTGCTACTTAATTATCTATCCAGTCTGTACAAATATTATGTTTCTGGACATTAGCCATCGTCCTGCTTCCATTTAAAACACATGACGTTTCGGAGACTGGATTCTGTCTCCGTCTTCAAGTAAAACGTCGATACTTCTAGTCCCTATCTCCGGATCTTTTTTACGACAGCGTTCTGGGAAAGACGGATCCATACTGAGTCTATTTCTTATGACCTGTAAGACTTCTTTCACGGGGGTAAGTTGGGAAACAGGAATGACAACGTCAAAACCCTCAAGGTAGTCTTCGTTTTGAAGGTTGATCTCCTGTATGAATTTTATGTTTAGAGTTCTCCACGAAGGAGTCTGTACTGCCAACAAGAGGTCTGAGGAGCTTATGGAGAAATTGTGCCAGGCCATAACAGGGAGGGTCAACAGATCCAACCTTTGGTCTAAGGGGAACTTCAGATTTGTTTATGTTTTGGAAGTCCATAGAGGTGATGTGGTTTACTGTGGTAGGGAGCCAGTTTATATTTCAAGGCAGCGGGAAGGGCAGTTTTGTGTTTGGTAAGAAGTTCCCGTATCTTCCTCTCAATTTTAGACGTTGAATCCTCATGCAGACTTTTATAAACCCTTGATTATGGTAGACTGGATAGCTTCTTCTTGTATATGGAACTGCTCAACACTACCATGTACGAGGGTTGGAGCTTTAATAGTGGCAACTATTTATTTACAACTGATACAAAATAGATGCATGTTTCGAAGTTTTACTGTCCTTCAGTGTAGTCACCAGAATTGTGTACAGCCCGTTGCTAGCGATGTGGAAGTCGTAGTATACCTTTAGCAGCGCCTGTTGTGTTGATAGTTCGAATGGAGTGGTCTACTGCCTGAAGAATCTCTGGAACAGTTCTGAAGCGAATGCCACGAAGTGGTTCCTTTATCTTAGGAATCAAGTCGAAGTCACAAGGGCTTAAGTCCGGGGAGTATGGTGGATGGTACAGCACTTAGCCCCATCGATCGATCAAATTAGCCATAGCTTGCACTGCATGCGGCCGAGCATTGTCCTGCAAAATGATGGGTGGGTTATGCAGAAAGTGTCGCCGCTTCTTTCTCAAAGCTGGTCGCAGGTTGTGTTCCAAAAATGAACAGTAATACTGCGCACTGACGGTCTGCTGTAGGGGTACGGGTATGCGTTAGGATAACACCACAGTCGTACATGAGAATCACCATAACTTTCGCACTGCTGGGGTTCTGACGAACTTTCGATTTTCGTGGTGATCCGTAATGATGCCATTCGTTCGATTGACGTTTCATATGTGGCTCGTACGATCTGGCCCATGTCTCATCCAGCGTAATGATACGCCGTAAGAAAGCATCTCCTTCGCGCTCATAGCGCTCCAAGTGGTTACCAGCAGCGTCGTATCGTAGCCATTTCTGCATTTCCGTCAAATCATGCGGAACCCATCGTGATGCAATTTTTCTCATGCCCAGGCGTTCCTTCAGAATGCGAAGCACAGTCGTATGCGCTAATCCTGTCTCTCGGGCCAGCTCACGAATCGTATGGCGTCGATCACTCTCCGGCAACGCGGAAAGAGCATACACTTCTTCACTGACACTAGGACGACCTCCCCGACGCATGTCTGCCACATTTTGGCGTCCCTCATTGAAGGCTTTTACCGACCTTGCCACTGTTCTGTAAGGCAATGCAGATTCCCCGCAAGCCTATTGAAGACCTTGATGACACTGTCGTGCTGTACGGCCTCTGGCACATTCAATCTTTATTCAACTCCGTTGTTCCTGTTTCGAAAACATCGTGACAACACTACATTAGGGAATATTAGGGTT